ATCCCCTGTGTCCTGGTTATTTCGCGACCCTTACCCAGGGACCCGAACGCTCTAGACGTTCACAGTCTTGTGTGGAGGGAAGTTGGAAGAGTAACTGTGCCAAATAGAAGTTTATATCTACTAAAGGACCTGATTTGGTCCCAGAAGATTTTGAGAGTTTCCTGCATTAGTCCACTGCAGATTCCGATAGGCAGGCTCTCCTTGGGATGGTCACTTCTCATAATCAGACCTGGCTCATACGCTGATGGGCCTCTGCATTCCTCTGGCCTCTGTCCACAGTGATAGGGCCTCCCACCTTCAGGCTCAGGTGCCTAATTATGCTTTACCCTTGGCCATCTACCCTTGGCAAGGACTTCACTTGGCCACTTAGCTTGTCTCTTCTTAGTGTAACAGTAAAAACAAATGTGACTCCATTCTGTAAAACAACCATGCCAAGTAGAAGGGTCATGACTGGGGCAAGATGTTCTTTTCCGTTTGCTACAGAAACCTTTAAGAACACGGAACTACCTAATGGGCATTGTTTCTGTAACTAGGGTAATGGGGCTCTGTTTCTGTAACTGGAGTGATTGGGCTAACTGTGATTGGTTAGGCTTCCTGCTGCTTGACTGCACTCTCCTGCTTCTGTAACCTGGCTTGCTTGCATTGGCTAGACACCCCCCCCCCCGAACATCCCTTTTGCGGTTTTCAGGCTTATAAGGAGTGCCCTTGCAATTGTTCAAGGCTGATCATGGGAACAGCTTTATGTTCTGGACAGTTGCCCCGGTATGCTTCAATAAAGGCTTGATTCGATTATACATGAGTGGCCTGGAAGTCAGTATGAAACCCCAGGACAAAGCTTCAACTGTAACATTAGGTTAGTCAACTTTTTGTTGCTGTGACCAAAATACCTAACAAAAGCAACCTTGAGGAGGAAAAGTTTATGTTGGCTCACAGTTTCAGACATTTCAGTCCATGGTTGGTTAATTCCATTGCTGTGGGCCTGAGGTGAAGTAGAACATCATGGTGGAAGTGTGTAGTGGAGGAAAGCTCGGCTTGTGAGACCTAGGAGGAAGAGGGAAAGAGAAGTAGGGGTCAGAAAGAAACCCTTCCAGAACATGCCCCCAATAGGCTATTTCTTTCTACTAGGTCCTACCTCTCAATAGTCCATTTAGCCATCAATGGATTGATTAATCCACTGAAGAGATTAGAGTCCTCATGACTCAATCATTCTGAACAAATGAGACTTTGGGGGACATTCAAGATTCAAACCATTAACATTCCTCTACCTTCAACCTCTTCCCCTCTATTGCCTTCTTTCCCCACTACAAATATTGAGTCTTGACCTAAAAATCCTCTTGCCTTATCCTTGTCTTCCTTCTTAAACACATTTTTTCTGCTGTTTATCAGGTGTCACATGGCTTCATTGCAAGGTTATCAACATCTATGCATCAATCACCTGCCCCTTGCCCCCTGCAACTTGGTTCTGAGGCCCCAAACTCCAGAAATCTCTGAAGCCAGCAGCCTGAGGTGGTCTCTTGTGGCCAACTGCTGGCTGTCCCCTCACCTCTGGAGAGACTGGGGAGAAGGAAAAGCCTTAGCTAAGCCAGAAAGAGAAGAGAAGGGCGAAGGGGAGGGAATGCTAAAATCTAGACCTTAAATTCAAAGGCAGTGGTGTGTGGCAGGGGAAGGTGATGTGACAATTACACATCTTTGCTATGAACAATTGTTGAAGAGTGATGCAGGGAAAGACATGGATTCTAGAAGAAGCTGGTACAGCACCCTACTAATGTAAGCAAGATGTCTTAGTCTGTCTTGTGCAGCTATAACAAAATGCTACCAACTGTGTAACAATTTATTGGTTCACAGTTTCAGTGACTGAGAAGATCTAGGGATAGGCATCTGTCAAGGGCCTTCAGGTGTATCATCCTATGACAAAAGTGGAAGGTCAAAGAAAGAGAGAGAGGAGAGAGAGAGAGAGAGAGAGAGAGAGAGAGAGAGAGAGAGAGAGAACAAGAGAGTGTGTGCAAACGCAAGAAGTTGAAGTCATAGCTTCAAGTTCTTCTAGTATTAGTATTAATTCATTCTTAAGGGTTGTGTCTTCATGACCCAAATACCTCCCATCAGGCCCAACCTATCAGTGTTCTTCCATCAGGGATTAAGTTTTTAAACACATTCTTTGTGGGGGACAAATTCAAAACACATTAGAGGGAGGGACATCTCCTCCCTGTAATAGATTGAATAGATATCCAGGTCCTAATCCCCTGTGTTAGCTTTGTGTTGATATGATCAAAATACCTGACAACAACAATTTTAGAGGAGGAAAACTTTATTTGGGCTCATGGTTTCAGATGTTTAGTCCATCTGGGCCAGTTCCATTGCTTCAGGCCAGGGGCAAGGCAGACCATGGCTGAAGGGCCTGGTGAACAGGGAGAAGCTGCTCAGCTCAGACCCACCTTCTCCAGTCACTCCCCACCTGCCTACAATTACTGCTCAGACCATTCACACCCAGGTAGGCTGATTAGGTTGCAGTTCTCACAATCCAATCATTTCATCTCCAAACATTCCTATATTAACATAGGAGCTTTGGGGGGATACCTCATATCCAAAGCATAACACCCTGGAACCTGTGAATATTGCCTTTACACCTAAAGAGACTTTACAGAAGTGATTTAGTTAAGGATATTGAGATAAAGATGAAATCCTAGATTATCTAATTGAGCCCTAAATTCAGTCACAAGTGTTTTTTTTTCTTTCCAGTATTGAGGATTGAATTCTGGGGTGCTCTACCACTGAGCTACATCCTCAGACTTATTTATTTATTTATTTTTAATTTTGAGGGTCTCATTAAATTTGCTTAGCTGCTGAGGCTGGCCTTAAACTTGCTATCCTCCTGCCTCAGCCTCTGGAATCACTGGGATTATGTATGCTCCACCATGCCAGGCTGTAAGTGTCCTCATAAAAAGGAATCAGAGGGAAATTTGACACATAAGACAGAAGAAGATGGAAGCAGAGAGAGTTTAGAAGATGCTACATTGCTGGTTTTGAAAATGGAGGAAGATGCTATAACCAAGGAATGCAACTCAAAAAACTGGAAAAAGTCAGAAAACCAATGCTTCCCTATAGCCTCTGGAAAGCAAGTGACCCTGATGACACCAGTGAAGTAAATTAGATTTCTGGTCCCGAAAATTGTTAAGATTATAAACTTATGTTATTTTAAGCCACCAAGTGTGTGGTAATTTATTGTGCCAGCTACAGAGAAGTAACACATATTTTATCAACAGAAAATGGGCTACTGCTGTAAAAACAAATCAACAAACCCTTATATATAAGTATGGAATTGGGTGATGAGGAAAGGCTGGAAAAGATTTGAAGCCTTTAATAGAAAAAGCCTAAATTACATTGTACAGACTATTAGTAGAAATATGAATGTTACAGACTCTGCCTGGGAAGGTTCAAGAGGAGTGAGAAGCAGTAGAGAAAGCCTGTATTGCCTAGGGCATAAATAAGTCACCATAAGCAGACTATTGGTAGAAACATCAACACTAAAAACACAGCTGAGGGCTGGGGGTTTATTTCAGAGGAAAAGTGTTTGCCTAGCATGCATGAGGTCCTGGGTCGATCCCTGGCCTTGTTTTCTTTTTCTTTTTTTTTTTTAATATTTATTTTTTAATTGTAGTTGGACACAATACCTTTATTTAATTAATTTATTTTTTATGTGGTGCTGACGACTGAACCCAGGGCCTTGCACATGCTAGGCAAGCGCTCTACCACCGAGCCACAACCCCAGCCAAACAAACAAAAAATATAAGGGCTCAGAACAAATGAGGAACATGTTTTTGGAAGCTGGAGTAAAGGGAATCATTCCTTAGAAGGGGAACCTACATACAAGCAAAAATCTTAGCTGAATTGTGTCCTCTAGTTGTATGGGAGGCAGAACTTGAAATGATGAACTTGGATTTTTGGCTGAGGAGAGTTCCAACTGAAATGTTGAAGATGCAGCCTCATTTCTTCTTGTTTATAGTGAAAATCAAGATTTAAAAAAAAAGATTAAGTAAAGGAAAATCTATTAAGCAGAAGAAGAAGAAGAAAAAGGAGAAGGAGGAGGACGAGGGGAGGAAGAATCAGAATCAGTATTTGATGGTTTGGGATTTTTTTTTTTAATATTTATTTTTTAGTTGTAGTTGGACACAATATCTTTATTTATTTATTCTTATGTGGTGTTGGGGATCGAATCCAGGGCTTTGCCCATGCTAGGCAAATGCTCTACTGCTGAGCCAAAACCCCAGCCCAGTTTGGGAAATTTTCAGCCTTTCCAGATTGCAAAAATTAGGAAATTCACTATTTGGAAAGTAAACTCTATCCTGGGGTTTCACTGATGACTTTGATCCAGAGGAACTCAGCCCCTCTGGGCTGTGTTTAAAATCTTGACTCTGTTGTTCATTATCTGTGTTACCTTCAATATATCATTAACTTCTCTAAATTCTGATATCTCTTGCTGTCAAATGAAATGATAATTACTACTCTCACAGATGTGTCATGAGGCATCCATTTTCAAAATATCTGTAAAAATAACCAAACACATTGCCTGATTTGATGTCAGCTTCTTCATGCCTTATTCTGATCAATATTTTGTGTGCCCATTTTCCATATTGCTATATAGTCTATTTATTTGTAAGTTAAGTTGCTGCCCAGTGTTCTACCAAGGTGATGTATGATCTTCGTTTATTAATATTTAATTTATCATTATATTTGATTTCCTGAATAGGCACAGATTTATCCTCTGTCCTTTGTATGTGACACACATTATTTGCCTAACATGAGACCCCAGTGTCACTTTTCCTCATTGCTCTGGTAAGATTCACTCTATGTTCCTGGTTTAACAGGGCAACGTGGTAATGAGCAAAGGACGCTTCTAAGCTGTAGATGGGATGTGTCTGGAAATAGGCCATTTTCTGCCTGAGAGTCTTCAAGACCACCTCTGAGTTCAATGATTTCACACTGCTGAGTTGTTCTCACAGTGGTTTGTACTCACATAGTCATATTTATGAGTATGTTTTACTATAGCAAACAACTACAAGCAAAATCAGCAAAAAGCAAAATAGCACATGGAGCAAAGTACAGAGAGCACCAAGCACAAACTTGAGTTACACAGGACATGCATAATTTCCCCAGCCACAAGTAGTGATAACACATTCGAAATGATGCAACTTGGGAATTTCTTTAGAGCCTTTTTGCCCAGAGTTTTGGCTAGGGGGGCCAGTCATGTAGACCCCTCTGCCTGACACATACTGAAACTCTAGAATCCCTAAAGGGGATTGCACAAATAATTTAGGCTTAATGAGACACTCCTTTATGTT